TCTGATGCAAACTGCTGAGGCTTAAATCAAGTATTTGTAGAGAAATAAATTCATCTAATCATGAAAAGAATATTTTTCAATTTATCTAAGAGTGTATCGACCTCCCCTCAGAACTAGTTGAATATGTTTCATTTCGTTTTGTTGCGTATCGACCTCCCCTCAGAACCAGTTGAATATGTTTCATTTCGTTTTGTTTATATTTCACTTTTTTCAATTTTTTTTTTTTTATTTTGCCGCCAAAAATCTTTTGGGCACGGAGCAGCGTCCATGGAATTATGTTGGAGAAAAATCAATTAATTTGTAATCCAAATGACTACATGCCCTGTGTTCAATTAGTCTAAATGAATGTGGAGAGGTGTCAGGCTGTTTGTTCCAGTGAGTAATGAAGGCAAATGGAGTTACACTCCCTAATGGAGAAAAAACACATCTTGGCACCAAGGCCTGATGGGAAATGTAAAAACGACAAGTGTTTGACGTTATGATTCTGATGGTGTCGACTCAACAACTCTTTTTTTTTTTGCACCACATCTAATGATAAATTCTTTCCTGTTGTTCAGCTTTCATCCATTATACAAGATACAATAAACTCATCCCTCATTAGGGTGTTGTAATTCAATAGTTCTCAAACCTTTTACACCACAGACCTACAGTATATTTTACTCTCAAAGTACCACCAGTATGAGCAACATTAAAGTACAGCAGCACAGGCACAAACAAACTGAAGCAGGGGAGCCGTACACTTCACATGATATCTGATCTCCAAATGGCTCCACATGCACTTACGGAAAAAAGGGAAAAGTAGGGCAGCATCACTGCACATGAAATGAACATTTATTTCTAGAAGCTAAATCAGGTATATGAGTTCAAACCACACATGTTTAACTATTGAAGGAAACTCCTGAAAAAAGTAAACGTTTGTTTTCCACTGTTTCCAAAAAAAGGTACATTTTGACAGCGACAAAACAATAATAAGTATAAAAACCATATCTCCCACTGGTGTTGCCTGGAGGAGTGACATTTTATAAAGATGTGTCTGACAAAATGATGCATGGGTATTTTAAGTTATTGCCTAAAGTAGTTCTACCCCCTGAAATATAATAAATCTCCTGTGAATCAAGGAGAAACCACATCTCCAAACACGGGGCTGTTTATGTTTGCGCCCATACATGTGGAGCACGGACTCTTCCAAACATGCGCGCAGATGACATTTAGCTTCAAGCAGCACCCTCAGTAAGCGACTGCTTTAATGACTGTTGATTGATACTGTTTCTGTCGTCTCATTAGACAGGATCTCAGCTGACAGTTGGGTTGACAGCAGCATGGCAAAAGTGGGACAGGCTGGGCTGCCAGGTTATTTTTGGTTCCATTTGATGTTCTAATGTGGGTGTTTCCAGATAAGATGGTGCACACGGGCTATACAGTATCTGCATGTGTGTGTGGGGGTGTGTGTTAGGTGTGAGTGCATGAAGGAGGAAAGTGAGAGTGAGAGTGTCGTCGAACCCCGATAATTGCTGATGTGCTGCTGCGTTTAATATCCCTGTGGTAATAAAAGGTGGCCTGATTCGCCACGGTACATTTGTCTCGTCCCAGAGATGAACCTGATTTGGATATAAAGGCTCTGTGCAGAGACCTGACTGAAGGAAATACATGTGTGCGAGACAGAAGCCACTGATTTGATCGCACATTTTCCCACCAGCCTGGGATTTACAACGTGGCCTGTCAGAGTTCAGTGTAGAACTGAAGGAAAATCACTGAAGCCTTACAACATCATAAACACAGCAGTCTTTATGACTTGGTTTAAGAAATAAAAATCTGGGAAACCACTTCACTGAGAGGAGAATAAAGAAAAAAAAACTTTGTTTTTATGACACGTAAAAGATTTTTTTTAAATTGCTGCTTGTGGCACTTTACTGGAAGAAACACGATTCTCTTTGTGTTTTACTAACGGTTCAGTGTAGATGTTGGACATATGGACAAATATTACTAATTACTGCAGTTGTCGCCTCTTTGAACGCTGACAGATCTGGACTGCAGGCAGGCCAGTGACACAAAATCATCTGTAAAACAATAGTTTGAGCATCTGACTTGATAGTGTACTAAATGTTATGGTGATTTTGATAAAATGATGTTGTTTTGACACGAGCGTGTATCCCAAAGACTGGAAGAAAAAAAAGTTCATAAATAATCATTTTTTTAACAGAATTTTAAATGAAGTTTTTCTAAGTTAAACATTGATGTTTAATAAATGCCACAAATCCCTTCAGAACAAAATGAATAATTTAGACCAAAATTAGATGAGAAAATTAATACTGCGTGTGTGTGTGTGTGTGTGTGTGTGTGTGTCAGCTCAGTAAGCAGAGGTCTGGAGGTGATATCATTTGCATGTAAATAAATTTTTAGAGATATTTATACATGGAGTGATTTAGTCAAACCATTTTGGGATCAGGAAACTGGAAGGAACTCACGTGGGTGTTAGTTGCACAGGTTTAATCGTACCGTTTCACAGTTCTGTACGTGATATTTACAGGTCATACATCACCGCTCTACGTATTTGGTCTATTTTCTTTGGATGCATGCTGATTTTGTATTAATTTTAAGACTCAGACTGTAATGTTAGGACCGTGTCCTCACAATTTAAGACTGTGTATCTGAAAAATATTATATGATACTATTCTGATAAGCAGTGTTTACATTTTACGTGACTGTTTTGTTGAGTTGTTGATTACGTTCTTCTAACTCACTCTTCACTCTTTTTGTTCTTCTTTCTTTTTAAAATCTTTGCTTTTCATCTGTTTGTTTACATCCTTCCATGGACTAGATATAGCTGAGCAGTTCAGAGACCTGTAGCTGTTGTCAGACCTGAGGTGTGGTCAGGAGAGGCTGGGCAGATGATGGAGAAGGGCTGCTGTGCTGACTGAAACCGGCACCTGCTTCGTCTACCTCTTCTCCTGGCACACAACAACAACAATGGCAACAACAATGGCATCATTTCTGTCAGTTTTTCCTGTGAACATATGTGAGAATATATATATATATATATATATATAATATTATATTATATTTTTTATATTTTCTTTGAGGATGATGATTGTTTACATGCTCAGTTCACCATGATTTAGGGGCCAATGGTCCAAATCAAGACCCACATATTACTAATCAAATAATAATCCACAATAAGTGAGTGTGGATGGTTGTTTGTTTCTATATTTGGTCCTGCACTGGACTGACAAACTGTCCACTGTGTACACCGTCCTTGTTTAATGACCGCAGTTGGTTCCATTGTTCCCTGAATTGAATTAAATGGTCAAAGATAAATATGTGTGCATTCATAAATCTCTGAATAAATCCCAGGTTTTCATTTAACTGCTGTAATTCCGTAGCTTCCTGTCACCTCATTTTTATAATGCAAAGGCTAGTCAGCCATTGACAGTTGTTGTTGTGCACCACCAGGGTAATTGCCTTAATCTGTGCTACATGCTGCAGCGTGTCCTCTCCAGTTGGCTAGTAAAAATGTCTACTTTTTATTTTACTTTTGTTTTTGTTTGTGTGCAGGGCGCCAAGCTTCCCATGTCCATCATCATAGTCGGAGTGGGCCAAGCTGAGTTTGACGGTACGTTCATTTTTATTTCTATCACAGTTCTATTATTCTTGTGAATTTATATTGCAGGTACATGTAATCATTTGTGTTCTGCACCATCTGTATAATTAGTCAGTAAATCAGAACAATATATCAGCTTTTACTGGCATTTTAATTCAAACGCATCCTGCGGTCGTTCTAACATCTGTGACACTAATTCACGAGAGAACGGAGACAGAAATTGCTGCAGTGACTGGTTTGCGGCTGTAGTGAAAGGAGCGTAGGTGGGTTTAAATATAATGATGTAAGAAATGGCTGAGGTTAATTGGTACGTTGTTGGTCTTTAGTGCTGATTATTTTAAATTGCACTGAAAATGCACTGAGAGACTACAATAAACAACTTATTAGTGAATTACACGTGTACACCCCAGGATCCTGTCGTTCACCCATGCTTTTAAAGGGAGAATTTAAATCAGATAAAAATTGTCTTTTTCAAAAACAACACGTGTGTATGAACTTCTCCACAGCTATGGTGGAGCTGGATGGTGACGACATCAGGGTCTCCTCCAGAGGGAAACTGGCAGAGAGAGACATTGTACAGGTAAACACTGACACTTTCACAGCATGAAAGTTTATCTATTTAATCTTGAAAAAGTTTGAAGTGAAAGTGATTTATAGTACTCATTCATAGTGATGTTGCAAACAGCTGCATACAGTGGTGGATATTAGAATCGGAAATTAAGTGTTTGGACAAAATCAGCATATCAGATATCGACAAAAAGTTAATATCAGACGTCCCTACTCTTTACCTTTGTAAGGATTACAGCAGAAAAAGAAACATATTTTTTCCATTGTTTCTTTTCCATTGTTTACCTTGCGTAAATAATGGATGGTGTTTTTATAGCCTGGTATCAAATGTTGCAACATTTCATCATTTTATAGGAGATGTGTTTAAATGTAACAGGGTTTATAATACTATGTAATACTAGTAATTCAAAATACTGTGTGTAGTAATTCAAAATGTTTTCTTTATACTACTCTACTTTTTATTTTACTTTTGCTTCAAAATCCAAAATAAGGCGAAAGTGTGTTGGCACTCTAAAAAGCAATCAAAATACGGAATACATTTCTTTAAGATTTCCTTGACTAATAAACATTCTGATTAATAAACATGGGTTGTTTCAGAAAATTTAACCTTTGATATTCTAAAAAAAAAAGTTTATGCAGAGAGACTCGAAAGAGATGTGAAAGGTTTTTTTGCATTTGTAGAAAGAACTTTTTTTTTTTTAAATGTAGGTCATCAGGTCAACATCCTCATCGAACAAGTGAAAATCAAAATAATATCTTTGTCACACTTCTTGTCCCTTTCGTATCAGTTTGTGCCCTTCAGAGATTACATGGACCGCACAGGAAACCACGTGTTGAGCATGGCGAGGCTCGCCAAGGACGTCCTAGCAGAAATCCCTGACCAGTTCATCTCGTACATGAAGAGCCGAGGGATCAAACCCAACCCTGCACCGCCTCCGTACACACCGCCTGGACACACACACCACCACACACAGATCTAGACCGCACTCACAGATCCCACTTCTCACTGAGGACTGATCGCATGCAACAGCCGCTCAGAGTCCAGCGGGACGTCTGAATCTCACGTCCCTGGTGCAAAACAGGAGGCCGTGCTCCAGGACGGGTGTGTGTGTGTTGACTTGGCCACTGGCGCAGCAGTTTGTGTCTGTTTTATTCTGTGATCTGTTAATCAGACTGGTTTCTCTGGGAGAGAGAGGCTGCAGTCTTTTAATCAACGCCGAGGCAGTGACTGTTTCAAGTCCAATTTTAAAGCAGGTCGGTTCAAAAAGATCATGTCGTGGTTAAAACCTTGTGCCTGTCTGTGGTCGTTTCTCTAAGTATATCAGGACATGTGACCTTTGACCTAAGCCTTGCTTGTCAGTCATTTCTGTGCCCGTTGCAGTGATGCTCCAGGCACCGTTCCCCCTTTGGTTTGTATTAGGGGAATATCTCAGTTATGTGGAGTTTACAGCTTATTACAAACGAACATTGATCAGACTTTTCATACCGTGAGGTCGTACCTCCTATCTTTATTAAGAAATTATTATCAGAGCATGTTGTGTGAGAACATTATTCCCCATATGACGTATATTTAATATTGAATGTTCTTCAGAGTGGCATGGATATTTGATAAGACTGTCTTCGACACCATAACCTTCAACATTTATTCTGTTTCTCTGGTTGCACATGAAAAAAAGCACAACCCATCTCTGAAATAATAACCAGGTTTATATTATTCAATCATGTCAAGTGCTGCTAGTCATTGTGTCTGAACAAAGAACCAAATTAATGTATGCAAGTCAAACATTTGTGTGTTAATAACACCAAGACCCTTTTTCTTTTTACGTTCCTTCCACCGACGATGAAGCACAACAGGAACATCCAATTTGCACTTGCAAAAAACTGATTTAAATATAGAAATATTTATTTAAATGATTTAATGAAGATAAATAGTAGGTTTGTAGAGGTCACTAAAATGCAATAAAAACTCTCATTTATCATTTATCATCTTTTCTTATTATTCAAGACAAAAGAACAACAAAAGAACTTTCCGTGTTTTTAATGACCAACTTATTTCTATTTGTTTGACTTTAGTAAATTTAAATTTAATATCTGCCAGACATTACAGCGAGATATGTATGTTGACCAGTAACATATTGCCTCTTTTTTCCATTTTTATTTGAATTTTGTAGATTTAATCATTATTCATTGACACAACAACAGCGACAGGTTGACAATAAAGAACCTGCGGTGTCATTAAAACCACAAGCTTTTTAGAAAGACATGTTTGTTTGTTTTTTCATTCATCTTATTCAAATGTTTAACATTAAAACATCTGAATGAGACCTTAAGCATCTTTGTCTCCGTCCAAGCTTTAGACCACAGAAAACATCTGTGTTTTATGAATAATTTTAACTGAGAACCAGAGAACTCTCCAGCTCGTTTTTGTAGGGATTTTTTAGATGCAGTAGTGGACTGTTAATGAGCAGTGACTATCGTACAGTAGTCTTTACCCCTTCTGGGTATGTTCACCATAATAACATAATGGTAATTTCTAATGCAACAGTAACAGCCTTTAATGTTGCATGCATTCAATCTTTTTTCTCAACGTTCATTAGTTGTGAGAAAAGTTGTGATTCATCCTCCTTCACGAGAACAATTTTTTAGTTCTTGCAGTTAGCTCATTTAAAAACATATTACATCTTTGGCCTGTTCATTATTTAAAATGTTTTTTTTTTTTATTTATTACTTGCTCTTGGAATACTTGGAGTTTTTTAACAAATAGAATGAAGTTGGTTGGGAAAACTTTTTTTTATGTCATTATGTCTGATGTTGTTGTTGTTTTCATTGCATTTTAGGATATGAATAAACGTTTTGTTGATGGGCTTTATAGCTTCAATACCATGTTTTCTACTAAAATTTAAATATAAGTATTAAGACTTAAGTTCACCCAGAGACATGAATATAAATGTATTTAATTCACACTTGACAATAATCCAAGAAATGTTTACAACGACCCAAAGTTTAATTAGGGAAATAAGCCAACGTCACTGATTTTCTGTAGGACTTTATTCTATAGTTTTATAATATTAACATCAATATACATGTACGCATAATAAAATGGCCTTAAGCTGTTCTAACACTCTGACCTTATACTGACATGACTTTAAAATTGATTTTAAAAACATTATTACCACATTTGTTTAATGTTTCTGTGGTTCATTAGTACCACAGTATACTAGGAAATACTTCAATATTTGACGTTTTACTAAAAGCAATGACATTTATTTTCAAGAACTTCGCAAGTGACTTGACACGGTTTACAAGGGATTTTAATCCTACATCAAACTTTTACATGAGTGCATGAAAATCATGCCAAAGAGAAATGAAACTGAACTCAGCCATTGGCAATTTCTATCTACACAGCAATTTACCATCATCTTGATCATCATCATCATCAATGTCATCATCTTCATCATAATCATTATGAGCTTGTTTGATTGCAAACAAACACAGAAACGTATTTTTCGTCCTGATTTCTTTGTCACCGCGGCCACTGTTTGTCTCCTAATTACCGCTGGCACTTATTATTCACTTGATGTGTTTACAGCTGTGGACTACTGTGTCCCCTTCACTGGCGTTGAGAGGAAACTAATGCAAAAACAGTGTTACAATAATGATAATGGCCTGTAAAAGGTCTCCTCTCCTTTTAACGTGAAGGAGGCAGTGGTGGAAGCAGAACTAATCTGAGCGGGAAAGGTTCTGTTCTGCCGTCTAATGTAGCAAACTAACGGCCTTAATGACATAAAGGCAGTCGCTCCGTCTCATTTAGTCCTGTATTGGAAACCCTGTCAGGTGGACGAGCATGGCTCTTAAAGATGGAGGGAGGAAAATTAGCTAATGGCAGAGGAAAGAGGAAAACAGCAGTTTGGCTTGTGTTTCTTTGTGCTGTGTGAGAGAGGAGACAGTTAGTGGTGACTACAGTGAACTTTGAGGTTGGAATGTAAACTTTAATGCTGATGTAATTATATTTAAATCCCATCATCCTCCACGGGATCTTGTATAGACCACGTTTGATATACTTTGGGGGTAAATACTACTGTCAGGATCATTCAGTTATTCATATTAAAAGTACATGTATCTCAGCCATTGTTCTTTCTGTTCTTGTCTGTCACTCGTCTACCTTCAGAGCCCAGGTTTACAAGATGTTGATCTGCATGTCTTCTTCTGATGCAACAACAGTGTCATTATTTGTAAAATAGGAATCAGATTACATGCATGTCAGAGGCAGTAGGCTCTGTGGACTATTCCTTTCTCTCTTGTGCCTGGTTCTCAAAAACATGTTTGTTTAATCTGTGATTTAAAAAAAGATTAGCTTATTAGCATGTCATAATTATTATTGTTTTAATTTTCTTTTGTCTAACCCAACAGTTTCTACTTGTTTTTCAAATTTGCATGGCTCCCTACATCCCTTCGACCAGATTTCTATTGTACATGATTATTGTCACATGGTGGGTTGTGAAATGCTTTGTATTGGATTGCCTTAAATGAGAACTAATTAAAAATGACTTCTTTTATAAAAGTAAACGTGTTTTGTTTTTTGTTTTGTTTTTTTAACTTTGATATTTTTGGTTCTGTGCTGCTTTGTGATTCACTGCAGTTATAATGAGCATAAAATCATACTTCTGTATGTTGTGGTGAGCTGAAGATATCGGCTCCACTTCAACTAACTTTAGTATTTTAACATGCGTGTTTTAAAGGGAAAAAAAGAATGGGCTTTATTTGTCATTGTGTATGCATGTTTTAAAGGGGGAAAAGAATGGGCTTTATTTGTCATTGTGTTTTTATTTTATATTTTTCTTTGATTGGAGCAAGAAACATTCCAATCACATGTTCGATCACTTCACTATCAGGAATATTTATTATTGAATTTATTGAATAAACACAGAGAGTGATATAATGGCTGCTGCTTGGCTGAAGAGAGAAATGAAAACTGTGGGATTTCAGTTTAATCATTGTGTTTCATCTCACTGTCTGGTCATACAGTGAATCTGCCTGGCACTACAAGGGCATCCAGACCCCTCACTGTTTGCCCCAGCTGCTGGACAGGACATGTTATTCAATAATTAAAAAACAAACAAGAGCAGCAACGACAGAAGTATTTTATCTAATTTAACCTACAATGCAATTCATGTTACTGCATTTCTATACATATATGAATTGTTTTTAACCAAATTTAATTGAATTGCTTCTTCAATGTTCAGTTCTTATACAGTCTTATACAGAATACTTTTTGCATCTCACCCTTGAATTCAAGTTTTAATGTCTTCTTTATGAGCCCAGAGCTCCAAACATCTGTCTTATTTAACAAGGAACCTACATGTTTACAATTTAATAGGAAGCAGTAATAAAAAAAATAAATAAATAAATAAAATTTAAAACCCTTGGTAACCATTATGGTTTGTTTTTGAATTTCCACCTAATGAGACAACTGAGTACGGAGAAATCCTTTCCACCTGCCCTTTATTACAAGCATCAAAAGACATTCAACCATTTAGTCTCTGAGTTAAAATAACTGATTAAAGAAAATATATCCATGACATGATATAATCATCTGTATCAAACGTAGGAGGAAAACACTCGCACTATGAACTTGGTTATTTTCTTGCACGCTGTAACTAAAAGGCTGAATTATGAGGAAAAAGTTACATTTCCAGACATCCTTCCGTTGCAATTTATGAATAATTTATCCACTCACTCATGCACTAAGACTGCTTAGAATAAATGATATAAATATAGAGCTCTTGGTTGTGAACACTGAGGAGGCACATCACCTCGTTCTTTTTCTCCCGTGTTATCAGGGTCGCTGGGGAAGCAGAAGCCAATCCCAGCTGACAACCCACGAGGGCAGGGTAGACCGTGTCAAATCACATCACATCAATTATGTTTGTAAAGCCAAATTTCACAAAAACACATTTGGCCTCAGAGGTTCTGGCAATCTGTACAACAGTACACAGAAACAGTCCCTTAATGGGAACAGAAACCAGACCACAGTGATTAGACTTAGCATCCTAGCGTCTTAGCATCCTTGCTGGCTGCGAAACAATAATCTTAGTATCTTAGCATCCTAGCATCCTTGCTGGCTGCGAAACAATAGCGTGTGTATATTCTCATGTGAAGTAAGGCTTGGAACAGCTATATATACCATGAGTTAATTCATCATTAAAAAATTAAACACAGCAGGTGGCTGTTGTCGTTTCCCCTCGGGCCCTAAAGTTAAGGAGGAAGAACATTTTTTTTCCAGCTAACTCAGGTTTGTTCTTGCTAAATTATTCAGTTTGCATCATGTTCTGTGTGCATGTCTTTTCTCAGCAGCCTGTGCTGGAGGTGGCATTGGTGACAGCTGTCATAAAACAGAATGGAACTCAAAACTGAATGTTAAAAAATGCAGCGCTTCACCTGCTAGTGTAGTCTCATTATTCAGCAAAGCATTCTGCTTTTAACACGCTCTGCCAGCCAAGCAATCTCATTATATTAACGAAAGTATAAGGCAATTATCTCGTCACCATTTTACCAAACCTTATGAAAATCTTACATTATTGTACATTATTGATTTTTTTGATGGACCGAGTGAGATACAGAGCTGAATGTCTGACAGAGATTCTCTTTGACAGATTCAGCAGTTTCTGGGTCAAGAAAAAAATATAGCAAATGAGAAAGAGGGGGGGGGGGGTCTAAAAGTTCTTGAATGTGTCAACCTAAATAGTTAGTAGAGAATAATTCACCCAGACTAAAACTAAAAAGGATTCAATTGTATAGCCTCCGGGTGTCTGACAGTCCAAACATCTATGTGGGCAAAAGAAAATCACTTCCTTATCAATATATTCTTCCACACTTTCATTTAGTTGTAAAGGTGTAGAACCTTTAACCTTCACATTTGCATTCAGTTTGTGTGTCCAACTGAATGCTGCAGAGGAATACAAAGAAATCTGTTTTCATTTTCTCTCCCAAGTTTGTTTAATATTTGTTTTAACCAAAGATGTTTTTTCTCAAAAAAGACTTTATTTTAAAAAAAGCTAAAAGAAAAACAGTGTTCCTGAGCAAACACGCAGCGGAAAGCTTGTGTTGTTCCCTGCCATCTGTTGATGCCTGTGGTGGCTGTACAATAGAAAAGTGAAGCTCATTCCCTTTGTATACCACACCTTAGCAGACATCTGAGGAAAGGCTCATGTCTTATTTCACTGTTAGCAAGAAAGCCAAACAATACTCCTGTTCAGATAAATGGGATAAACTACAAAATTGTAACATTTTCCTTAGTTTTTAACAGCAGCAGAGTCACTCGATAGTGTTTTTAGCCTAACAAACCAAAACCATTAAAATTTATACTCGTATTTGTTCCCACAGGACCATTGCATGTTGTTTGCTTATTTTATTATGTGTCTGTGCCTGTGTGTGCACAACAAGTTCACTATCTGTTTTATCCAAAACACCCTCTGTGCCCCCGCACCAAAGTGTTTTATTTTCCTTAAATGGCTCCAAAACCTGTTGTGGTAAGGAAATGAATCTCAGCGAGCCAAAGCACATCTCCACCCTGGTGTGTGAGCGCTGCAGAATGGCCAGGCTACAGCCGTAA